GAAATAAGAGAGATGAGGAAGTGGTGGAGAAGGGGAAGCTACATGGGAATAAAGAGGAGAGGGCTTTTCAGTAGGGCTGGAGGGTTGCGACATGAAATACAGGATTCCCAGTTAAATGTGAATTTCAAGTCAAGAACTAATAGTTTTTGTATAAGTATGATCTATAAAAAAATTGGGATCTACTTGAATTTGAAAGGCACTAGATGTGTTTAGAGAAATAAGTTGTTTTATAAAAGTTTAGGCTTCATAAAGAAAGGAAATGTTTGAAAGACACTTTGGTCATATGCAGAGGGTCTCAGCTTCCAGACAGGAGAATGAAAACTTAATTTTATGGGGACTGCAGAGATATTTTTGGTTTATCTTTTTTTTAATGTGGGATTGATATGATCTGACATGCACAGTAGGAAGAATAGGATGACAATGATGAGAACAAGTAAAGTTAAAATAAGAAGTTGGCCAGGGAGTAAGAGTGGAGCTGTTAACGGAGGTGATGGGCGGTTTGGACATGGCAATGCTCTAGATAAAGAGGACGCAACAGATTGGATCTTGGGACAAAAGAGGTCGAGAGTCAAAGATGCCTACACGTCTATGTCTATTGACTATGAGGCTGATGTCTTTTGTTAGTAGTTGGGTAAGGAGGAAGAACTGATTTTAGGGAAAACAGATAATGCAAAATAGGGGTCATGTCAGTGATAACTGTCAGGGCAAGCCTCCACATACAGACGCTTGGCAAACAATTAAAAATATTTTTCTAATCTCAGTGATTTCATATTATAGGTATTTAAGCTGTTAAATTCAACGAGTTGCCCAAAATTCAAGGAACCCCTCTAGTTCACAATCAGAAACAAAAAACATTGAGAGAACAGCAAAAAGACAGAAGAACAAGAATAATGAAAAAATTGTGCTTGGAAATTCTGAAGTCAAGGTCAATCAATTAGACTGAGAACCAGCAATAATTCTGGTAATTTTTGACAGAGCTGATTTAGGAACAGAACACGGGTGGGAGCCATGCCTTTGGAGACTACAGAATAGATGAATGGTGAGGAAATAGAGGAAACCAAAGCTATCTGAGGAATCGTGCTTGAAGACAAAAAAGAAGTGAAGGCACCAGAAGGGGAAGATTTAATAAAGAAGAGAGCAAAATCTGAAGAGCGCCCAACAATAGGATGTGGAGAGATTAGCTGTAGAAGGGAGAGAGAAACTTTCTCAGAGTTAAATGAAAGAAAGGGAGGACAGACAGAATTTTAAGGATTTGATGTGTGACATTGAGTCAGCTGATATTTCGTCTCCACTTTGAGTAAGAAAGGAAGTGACATATGCCTTGAGAGGAGCAGGGTGGAGGGCTCATGGCTCATGGGCATAAATCTCATTGCCTGCCACATCTTACAGCACATCACAGACATCCATCCTTTATATGGATTCCTGGCAAAGTGGAAGAGGAAGTAATAATGATTGCAGGATTATTTTTTGGTGTGGCACATTTTGTTGCAGCAAGGGAAATCTGAGCTTAAGAAGCACAACAGAATCTAGTCATTTTCTCTGTACTGCATACCTGTTGCACAGTAGCACCAGACCTCTTCAGACACCACTGTCTTATTTTAGAGGTTTTACAGAACTGTGTGCCATCTCTGGTGTGTAAAATATGATTTGACATAGTTCACAAAAATAGCAAACAGCTAACTCTATTCTTGTGTCTTTATATAAACTAAGTTATAGCATCTCACATTGAGTTTGAATATAGCAAAATGTGGATTCTATTTAATGATATGGTCTTAGATTTTGGAATTCCTGGTTAAAGGGCCTTTCAGATACATTCAGAAAATCCCATTGACACCATAATTGCTTAAAAAAAACGTGTGATACATGGTCTCAATTCATGATGACTATAGCTGGACTTATGGATAAGGCAAGAAGTTTCAATCTCCCGAGTCTTTGTCTAGAATCGGTATGGTCATAACTATGTCAATACCTATGTTATACTATAAGGATTTTCTGGTGCATGGGCTTAGGACGTGACAATGCAGTTATTCTTGAAAAGGCAACTACAAAGAGAAAAGTGAAGATTGTCTTGTCTAAGCCTAGGAAATGTTATATCAGAGAATTGAAAATGAATAAGCCATGATATAGAATCATTATCACCTCCAGGGAAAAGAAAACCTAATCTGTGAGGGAAGAGATAGAAAGACAGAGGAAGGGAAAAGTATTAGAACTGATGTGAGGCTTTTATGGAGAAAACTGATGCCAGAAAGAGAGCAGAGACAAGGTAATAGATGAAGGATTTGTGTTTTCTTTGACAGATCTATTGCCGGGCTCCTAGCTGCAAAGTCATGGGTTGGCTCCAAAGAGGAGAAAGAAATGCTATGCAACTTGGAAGAAGGTATTGACTTTAAGTGTGTCTGGAAGACAGTGGGGTGAGAAAACCATGCCATTCTCATGGGAATTGAGATCTGGACTTTAATCATAATTCTATCATTTGCTGTCCCTTAGATCAGGCCCTTTCCCCTTTTGGGCCTCAGTTTTCTTAATTTAAAATGAGGTTCAAGAGGATCTTGCTGTGATTTATGTCAGAGAGTATTTTGCCTATGTTCTCCTCTAGGAGTTTTANTTTTTTGATTGGGTCATTTATTTTTCTGGAATTGAGCTGCAGGAGTTGCTTGTATATTTTTGAGATTAATCCTTTGTCTGTTGCTTCATTTGCTATTATTTTCTCCCAATCTGCACCAGCCCAGGTTGGATGCATGAGACAAGTGCTCAGGCCTGGTGCACTGGGAAGACCCAGAGGGATCGGGTAGAGAGGGAGGTGGGAGGGGGGATCGGGATGGGGAATACATGTAAATCCATGGCTGATTCATGTGTATGACAAAAACCACTACAATATTGTAAAGTAATTAGCCTCCAACTAATAAAACTAAATGGGAAAAAAATAAAAATAAAATGAGGTTCAAATGTTCAACTTCATGGTTCTCAATTATTTTTCTTCTTTTGCAGCATTGCCATTGGTAGAGACTGCCAATAATTTAGAAAAAATTTGAAAGTGAGACTCTGTAAACCGAGAATACCACCCACAGTCCTACTTGCAAAAAATCTAGTTTTTTTTTTTTTAACAACTTTTTATATACAATTGAAAAATCACATACAGTGAATGTACACTTTGCAGCCCATCAGCCTACTAAGTTGGGTCATGGGTTATACAATTATTTCCCAGAAAACTTCATAAGGATAATTCATCACTTTGTATCTTTGTTATATAGGATGGAAGCCACATAGGTAATAGAAAAATCATAACTGATTTCCACTGTATGACCATCACTAATGACTATCACTGTGCTCTTGCATTAAGAGATTGTGTCTGTAGTAATATCAGTACACTCAAGAGACTTGTCAGTTTATTTCATCATTTTTTCTGAGAGGATTTTAGGTCAGAGATTTTTAACTGGAGTTGACAGTTCCTTGGGTACTGAAAGGGTGGGAAAATTCCAAAGATTATTTTGCCAAGATCAATTGATACTATGTCACTGTGCAAAGGAAGACCAAAGCTATCAGCTAGATAACCAACCATCAGGTTAAGTTCAAAAGTTTTATCACAGACGCATTCTTTTCACTTGCATATATTTTCAGATATCAGATACACGTTAATTGTAGACTTTTGGCCCTTAAGTACAGTTTTAGCTAGGCACTGATGGTATACAAAAGGATTTTAGGGGGCTTATGACCACTCTAAAACAATAGGAGAATTTCATCAGCTTCTCAAAGGGATCACAAAAGGTGACAACAAAGGTTAAAGAACCACCACACTTCATATCCTACAATAACGTTACAATTCAGCTATTTTTTGGTAAAACTGGAAGCTGATTTGAATTATAGCCTAAAAGTTTTAGTAAACTTTTAACTACATGAAGGTTAGTAATAGACCTCTATCAGTGTAGAATACCTCTTTTATTCTTGATTCTTTAAAAAATAAACAAATACAGTGTGATGAAATATATTGCTGAGAAAAATAAAAGATAAATAAATAAAGATATATTTATGGATTAAAAAGCTTCATAACTTTAAATTGTCCATTCTCTCTGCACTGTTGTAGAGATGCAATACGATCTTAATTATAATTCCTGCAGACCTTTTTGGATAGAAATCGAGAAGTTGATCCTAGAAGTTATATAGCGAGATGCAAAGGTATAAGCATTTCCAAAACAATCTTAGCCAGTATAAAATTGAAAGACTTACATGACTTCATGACTTACCTTATACATATGGTAATTGAATAGTGTGATATGGTGATTAAATAGTGTGACACTAAGGATGGACATAGAGAACAAAGGAACAAAATAGGACCTAAAAATAGACCCCACTTATCCAGTCAAAGGTACCAACACAATCTAATGAGAAAAGCAAAGACTTTTCAATAAATAGGGCTAGAATAACTAGATAGCCATATGGAAAAAAAATTAACCCTAACCCCTACCTCATAAGAAACAGAACAATGAACTTAAAGTGGATCATATATATGAAAAACAAGTGAAAACATAAATTTAAGGGAATGAAATCACTATGAATCTTCTCAGAGTCACCAACAAAATATTTTCCAATTTCTTCAGAATATTGTTTCCCAATTCATAATAATTTCATAATCAAGTAGCTACACAGAATACCCAGGAAACATTGAGTCTGGGTAGACCTGAGATAATTAAGGGATTGCTTAAAAAAGATGTAACCAAGAATAAACTAGATGTGAAATCTGTCTGACAAAAACATATGCCTATTACTATGTTTATTATTTAAAGATAAGGACAAATCAATTACCTTTGATGGACAAGGTTGTCTAGCTTTAGCTCAAATAGTTCTAAAGAGATTTTCCTGAATTTTAATATAATTTTATTATCAAGATTGGAGAGTCTACATGTTTACCTACCTGCCTCTCTCCCTTCTGCCCATTTCCAAAAGTAAAAGTTAAACAACGATGTGCGCAACAGCAATAAAATATGAAACACAAAGCTCTTTACCGGAGCCCGTAGAGAACTGTTCCATCAGGATGCAGGCGGATCATGCGATTTTTCACTGTAACCCCATGCACAAAGGATTTCTTGTCATTCAGAAAGTAGGTGTCTGGTACCCAGAGTTGATCAGCCACCCTGTTGTCTAGTGTGAGGTTTAGTGGGATTCCAGAATAAGAAAGCCTTTTGTCTTTCCAAGACTGCTGGAAATACATTGTGAGAGTATAATCCTGTAAAAGAAAGGAAACAAAAAAAAAAGAAAAAAAAAGAATTTTACCATCATCATCGTCATCTTCAGCTAAAAGCCTTTTTGTTAAGAACCTGATACTATGTGGTACTGTGGATGCCCAGAGACTCAGCCTTCTGCAGGTCTGCTATGAAGGTCACATTTGAATGTGCTGTGAGTGGCACCTCCAAGTATAAGGCAACCAACAGGTTAGAAGCACTAGAGCATTCAGAAGCATTTGTACCAATATAGAGTAATTCCATTTAATTGAATTTTAACTTTTGAAGTTAAGGTCATGAAATCATGGGGAAGGCTGTAAAGGGAAGTTGTACTTAGAGATTTATGGTCACAAATATCTACCCCTGGACGTTGTATTTATAGTACTATTTTGAAGGAGTATGTTTGTTAAATAATAACTAAAAGTGGCTGTACTTAAAAGAAAAGATGTGCTCTAAACTGCAAATACATCTGAATGAATAGCGTTTACCTTATAAAGGTTATCAGTTTCCATTATTTGGATTTTTCTAGCAAATTATGCCCTGTCTGTCAGTCGTAAAAAGCAGTTTATGTAGAACATGTGGATGGGGAGATGCATTTGGCCTGAGAGCGGACATGAGTGCTGTGTGCTTGCTCACTTGCTTCAGTCGTGTCTGACTCTTCACCACCCTAAGGACTGGAGCCTACCAGGCTCCTCTGTCCATGGGGTTCTCCAGGCAAGAACACTGGAGTGGGTTGCCATTCCCTTCTCCAGGGGATATTCCCAACCCCAGGACTGAACCCAGGTCTCCCNGATCAGTCCTGGGTGTTCACTGGAAGGACTGATGCTGAAACGCCAATACTTTGGCCACCTCATGTGAAGAGCTGACTCATTGGAAAAGACCCTGATGCTGGGGAAGATTGAAGGCAGGAGGAGAAGGGGACGACAGAGGATGAGATGGCTGGATGGCATCACCGACTCGATGGACATGAGTTTGAGTTGGTGACGGACAGGGAGGCCTGGAGGCCTGGCGTGCTGCAATTCATGGGGTTGCAAAGAGTCAGACACGACTGAGTGACTGAACTGATTTGAGAAACACTGCCTCTGCTCAGGCTTTCCTGGTGGCTTGGATGGTAAAGCATCTGCCTGCAATGTGGGTTTGATCCCCAGGTTGGTAAGATCCCTGGAGAAGGAAATGGCAATCCACTCTAGTACTCTTGCCTGGAAAATTCCATGGATGGAGGAGCTTGGTAGGCTACAGTCCATGGGATCGCAAAGAGTCAGACACGACTGAGCAACTTCACTGGTTCACTGACTCTGCTCATGTCTTACATCTGGGTAAACTGTACTTCATCTATATCCCTATATGGATATTCATGCATTTCTGAAATATCCTAAATGATATTGTCTTCAATATTTATTCGGGGCAATGAGTTCCAATGTCCTTTAACCACTGTATTCAAGAATGTTTATGTTGTTTACTCAGAAACAAACTTACAGTAATTTAATTCTTTCTTGTTCAATGAGAAGGACATTTGCTCACTATTATTCATACAATATCCCTTTTATAGGTCTGAAACTTTTTCCACCTTACCTTCACTTAACAGAAAAAGAGAACCCACAGGGTTATGTACACTTCTCAATTGCTAACATTCTCATTTGCATCCTCTTCAAATTGTAGACATCAACCTTTTTAGAGTACAATGGATTGGACAGATTCTGAGCCTTAGATTCTAAAACATCTTGATGCCAAAGTCTACCATTTATAGAGCTATGTAACCATGAGCTATTAACTTAACCCATTGCTATCTCCAATGTCTCACTTCTAAAATAAAAATAATAGCATTTTACTGGCTTATTGAAAACATTGCTAAGGAAAATTAGGATGCAGGTATTTTAGAAACTAGCATGCTAAACAAATATATTATCTTCAAAATTGTTCACTGCTGTTTAAAGATTAATATCATACTTCCAAACTACTTGGAATGTACATATTTATTTTCACAGGCATTACCACTTTTAAAGAGATGTTTATAAAAGAACTTGTAGGCAGAAAGACCCCAGTAACCATGAAAATAAGCACTTGTCTGTGCTGTAAGTCTTGTTGGGGTCTTATTTGTAATTCAGACAATGTAATAAAATTAATAATATCTCAAGATACATTATTGTAAACATTGGCACTGGGATCAGCATGACCAGCAGTGGGTTGCATTTCACTACCCGTGCTGAATGAATGCTCATTAACCTCCAGCTCTCTTGAGTGCTGCAGAGGATTTCCTCACAATGAGACCATGAGGCAAAATCCATATACTGCATTCTCCTCATTAAAAGAAGTTTTACTGTGTGATGAGGAAAAACTTATTGTAAAGTACAAATGATTGTGATGACAAATAATATTCTATTAACTAATGTTATAATTAAAATATGCTTGTGGTAAGTAAACAATGGAGAGTGGAAGGAGAAAATAACGTCAACTTGAGTAACTCTGCATAAATTAAGTGCAATCATGTGTGTGTGTGTGCGCACATGTGTGTGTACACATATGTGTGTGGGGGCATGTCCATGCATGTATGTGTGCATGTGTGCATGCACACGTGTATGTGTGCATGTGTGTGCATGCACATGTGCGTGTGTATGCATGCATGTGCATGCATGTGCATGTGTGTGCATGCGTGCGTGTGCGCACATGTGCATGTGAGCGCGCATGTGCGTGTGTGCATGCGTGTGTCCGTGTGTGCGTGTGTGTGTCCGTGTGTGTGTGTGTGCATGCGTGTGTCCGTGTGTGTGCGTGCATGTGTCCGTGTGTCTGTGTGTGTCCATGTGTGTGCGCGCTTGCATGTGTGTGCACACATATGTGTGCTTGTGTGGGCATGTCCGTGCATGTCTCTGTGCGTGCGTGTGTGCACACATGTGTGTACGTGCGCACGCACATGTGTGTGTGTGTGCCTGTGTCAGTGTGTGTGCGTGCGTGTGTCCATGTGTGTGTGTGGGTGTGTGTGTGTCCGTGTGTGTGTGTGTGTGTGCGCGTGTGTGTGTGTGTGTACTTTTCCCTTTCCCTTTCTGGAAACTCTTGTTTCCTGTAAAGAAAGACCTATACACATGTACTGAGATCTTTGCTCTATACAAGTCACCCTGTTTTCAATAATATTGACTAAACATCACACCATATTTCCCAATTAAAGCAGTAATTTAGTCTATTTGCAATAAGAAATCATTCAGTGGAAATTTATGTTGTTGTTGTTCAGGCGCTCAGTAGTATCTGACTCTTTGTGACCTCATAGACTGTAGCACTCCAGGCTTCCCTGTCCTTCACTATCTCCCAGTTTGCTCAAACTCATGTCCATTGAGTCAGTGATGCCATCCAACCATCTCATATTCTGTAGCCCCCATATCCTCCTGCCCTCAATCTTTCCCAGCATCAGTGTCTTTTTCAATGAGTCAGCTCTTTGCATCAGGTGGCCAAAGTATTGGAGCTTCAGCTCCAGCATCAGTCCCTCCAATGAATATTCAGAGTTGATTTCCTTTAGGATTGACTGGTTTGATCTTGCAGTCCAAGAGACACTCAAGAGTCTTCTCCTCAGCACCACAGTTGGAAAACATCAATTCTTCAGTGCTCAGCCTTCTTTCTGGTCCATGGATGCTAGTATTTTACTCTAGGAAGTGGGTGATGCAGAAAAAGTACATTTTAAGACTTTTCTTCTTATGCATTTCTAGGGTTATCATCTTAACCTAGGACCTGATTCTATGATAAATGGAAATATGGACCCATGAATTTGATAACCTTCAAAAAACTTTTTGAAACTAATGATAATTGTGATGATAATTATGCACAATGTGGAAATACTTAAAACAGAGTAATATCTCCATCCTATGCATATTTTACCACAAGTGTGATAATAATTTCCTTCTAGAAAATGCTATATGCTCTGTGGTTTCCATGGAGCTTCATATATATTATAACATTTCATTCTCACCACCTCATGAGATAGGCAAATTCTCCCTGAGAGAATTTATGTTTACATCTCAAAGAAACTAGTTTCTGAATTTTAAGTAAATTGTTTTTTTCTATCTGCATATAATAAAGCCTAAGATATCCTTTGGTGTATTCTGCTTTTTAGATGGAAAAGAAAGGCTTAAAATTGCTGTATTTTTTTTTAAATCTAACACAACAGATTTTCTACTAATTCTTCATTAGGTCAAAGTGCAAGCCCTCCAGGGAGGATGGAAAGTTTTCAGAAAGAAATGAAAGGTTTTGCTACTTTGCCCAAGAACTCTGAAATCATTTTTCTTCCAGGTGTATTATATGTGTTCAACTACCTTTCTCAAGTGGGCAAGCTACTCCTTGACAGAAAGTGTGACATATTTAGAAACGATGGGCCATAGGAGATTCTTTGACACTGAAGCACATTAATGGGATTAGCTGGTATGAGATTCCTAATGAAATTGGTCAGGCTAATTCAGGCATGAGAGAATTTGATTCATTGAAGAAAAGTAGGATAAGCAATATCAAGTCAGTAATTTCCAAAACCCATCCTTTTTAAATCTAAAAATGCTTAAAGAAGTAAGAAAATATTTCTAATAAATGAAAGCAGTCCTTTTGGAGAATAAAGGTAATATTCTTTTATATACTTATTTTTATTGAAGTACAGTTGATTCACAATTTAGTTTCAGATTTACAGCATATGACTCAAAATTTTTATAGATTATACTCCATTTAAGGTTATTACAAAATATTTGTGATATTCCCTGTGCTGCACAATATATCCTTGTATCTTATTTATTTTATACACAGAAGTTTGTACCTCTTGATCCCCTACACCTATTTTTCTTGCCCCTCCCCTCCTCTCCCTTCCTGCTGGTAACCACTTGTTTATTGTCTGTATCTGTGAGTCTGTTTCTGCTTTGTTATATTCATTCATTTTATTTTTTAGATTCCACACATAAGTGACAACATACAGTATTTGTCTTTCCAAGATATGTAATCAACTTGTGTCCATCAACAGATAAATGGATATGGATACACACAC